TCCCCGCTCCCTACCCCAACGAGCAGGCCGCCCGTGCTGCCAACCAGGGAGCTCTTCCCCCGGACTTGTCCCTCATCGTCAAGGGACGTCACGGAGGATGTGACTACATCTTCTCCCTCTTGACCGGATACCCTGACGAGCCCCCTGCGGGAGCTGTCGTTTCCCCCGGATTGAACTTCAACCCCTACTTCCCCGGAACCGGTAAATATCTTAATTCCCTATATGGGATTTTCGTGCTGACTTGATAAAGGAATTGCCATGGCCCGTGTCCTTTACGACGGAATTGTTGAGTACGATGACGGAACCCCCGCCACCACCTCCCAGATGGCCAAGGACGTCACCGAGTTCCTCAACTGGGCCGCCGAGCCCGAGATGGACCAGCGCAAGAAGATGGGAATGAAGGTTTTGACCGTCACCGCTGTCCTTTTGGCCCTCTCCATCTGGGTCAAGCGTTACAAGTGGGCCCCGATCAAGACCCGCAAGCTCGTCTACAACCCCCCCAAGGCATAAATATCCGGTTTTCATGTTTAGATTATGGAGTTGAAGTAGATGTTGGGGTTGGGGGAGTGGGAATGGTGGGTGGAGGCGACATCCATTATTCTCCCAGGAATATACTTGCCAAAGCTGGCGTTGGCGCTTGGTTTCCAGCAAAGGTTATGCTGCGGCAATTAATTCAGCGAATAGAAAAAAGTTTTGCGCCTGACCAGGACCGAATGATGTGATCACTCTTTCTTTTCTTGTTGATGATTTTACAGTGTACTGTATGCTTGGTTTACGCAAATCTTTCCTTGAATATATGTTATGTCCCCACTTCGTTGGTTCCGTAGGGTGATGGGTTTACGAGTAGAGTAAATGTGAGCATGGTTACATAGGAACCAGATCCATACTACCGTTGAAACGTACTCAGGATTCGTTTGAGCCCTTGAAACTCCTCGATTTCTATGTGGCTTACCACCAGGAATTTAAGTCACGGGATATTGGCTTTTGACACTATTTTGACCAAACATTCGGTAACTACGATTTCCCCACATTCGCCCATAAGTCCGGCCATTATGAAACAAATTTAGAATCAAGGTACGATGGCGTCATAGCCGCTCTGTGGGGGACAAGATCGAGTGATACCCGGAGCCGGGTGAGTAAGACGGCGCTGTGAATGGTCAGTGCGATTGGGCGGCGAGTAGAAAGTTGTGATTCGTGGTTACGTGTTGGTGCTATGAATTGAAAGATGAAAATATGCATTACTGAACGTACTGCTGTCGTTACCAGCCTGTCCTTAACCTAGCCTTGTCATCAGTGTAGCTTTTTCTCGATCATGAGTCGTCATTGTAGTCGTCGGCATTGTCGTAAGTACTCTAGATGAACATACTCGTTCTGAAATCTGCCAAACAACCGCGTATTTTGTAGAGCAAGAGTCAGAGAAGAGTGAAAATGAGGGAAAGATGGCTGCAATCCTCTCTCAAACTCCACCCACCATACTGTTCGGCATCCACCTCACCCATGCCATTCTTCTACAGGATTAGATAACTTGCAAGAGTCCCAGAAAACAACTTCCAATTACATATATCGAGTGGGAGCAGAAGACACAAGTTATCAAAAAAGTGTTCATCGGAATATGGTGTCTTGCTATTTGCAAAATCACCAGACTTTGCATGTTCTTGCAGGCCTTCCGGCTCTATGGTATGTGCAGTAAGTCTCCCTTGAACAGTATTCAGGCCAAATAAATAGCTTGTATTGATCTGTTTCTAGGGTTAATTGGTTATGCTATACAGATGTCAATACTCGATATCTACTCAACTAACGAGTAATCACGAGTCATCACCTGCTGTCAGCTGTCGGCTTGGCTGTGCCGCCGTGCCGCTGCGAGATGCGGTTGGGCAACATGCCCTTGCCCTAACGACCTGCAGGTAAGTGGCTGACTGCAGGTCATGTAATGGATGAGATTGGTGTCGGATAGAAGATGTCATTGTTGTTTGTTTTATCAAACGCAGAATGTATGGAATTTAGTGTAACCCAAGTGTAAGGGGACGTTTTTGTACTATGGGGATAAGGTCAAAGGAAGCAAGAGTTCATCCGATGACTGACACGACGAGACAGAAAGGAAGAGAAAGGATGTACGGAGTTGTTATTTTGCTTTTAGCATGTAACAGTATAGTCGCGATATTGTCGTGCCCCGGACTGGGGACAGCCAATTAATGAATTAATAAAAAAAAATCCCCAAGGTACCGTGTCTAAATTTCAAGATATTGCTTTGCCAAGATGCACTCTTCTATTATCATCTTGCCTTTAAGAAGGAGAATATACATATGGTTTTACGTCGTTCTTAATTGGCCATGTAATTAGTCGAGACGGATTTTACAGAAAGGCAATGGTGGCCTGCCGCTGGCAAGCTACAGATTTCCTACAGCGGCCAGCCTCATCGACCCCGAAACAATCAATCCCCCGCGCCTCAAAGATTTCTCTGGTTCATGCCTTACTGGATCTTGTCCCTATTCTCGTTGCCCTTTTTGACTTTCTTGACCTTAGCCTTCTTGGCCCTCTTGGCCTTCTTGACCTTCTTGTTCATATTCAGTAACAAAGTCTTTGCATTCTCCGTCTCAATCTGATACCTCCGGGTCAAGCGGGCGTTACAGATCAAGAAGAAAAAAGATCTAACTACCAGTGGTAGATAAAACCTCAATCCGATCCGCTTCAAAACCCTCCGGTAATTATCTAGGAAAAATGCGAAAGCGGATTCATTTGGACGTTTAAGTTAGCGCACGAGGTCGTTTTCGGTCAAGTATAAGGTCTAGAGATGGCGTCAAGTTAGCTTCTTTCGTTGTTACTTCGGTTCCCTTATAGTCCACACAAATAGACAATATACGAACCATCATCATCGGAGACAATCTTGGGCCGAGATACTTCCTAATCTGCCTACCAAGGGCGAATTCGACGGGAAGGGGTGTGAACGGGTATTGAAACTAGGAGCGGCGTTAGTAAGTACAAGTTATCGTAGGAGTTATCGTAGGAGGAGTGGGGGGGTAGGATTGAAGAAAGTACCTCCTGCTCTGGTATAAGGTCGTGACGTTTTTGTGACTTGGAGCTAAAGCTTCTGCTAGCGGAAGCTGCGGAAAGGGTAATTTGCTTGGGACGGTAAACGACAATGCGCGAAGCCGGTCTTAATTTCGGGATCCTCGGGAAAAGCGACATACTGAAGATGTGTTACATATGGTTTGGAGATCGGTGTGGCCGGTGTGAATGGAGGTCGGACGGTCAATGCATTTCGAATAGAGGATTAGGATTTTCTGTAAAGGTATGGGCGACGAGAAAAAGGCCGTGTATGATTGAGCGAGCGGACAATACCGTTGTGGCTTATGGTGGTTGAGCTGAGGTACGAGTCGGTGGAGATCTGTAAAAGCTCTTATCAACCCAGCACGGCAACGGCTGCAAAGTTTGTGTAACATGCGTACCTTCAAATTAGATCTGCAGCCACTTCGACCCTAGCCGTATGCATGTATATATCACGCACGCCTAAGACCCCCGAATAATGGCTTGACTGCTCTCTGGAGGACATATCCAATTAAGAGCGTCGGAAATTTCAAGTAGAGCATCTTTTTGCACTGCCGTGCAGCACTAATAAATATCCACGTTAGTGATCCCAAATGACTCATAGGAATGGCAAGTTCCCGTGTGTATTATCCATTTTTACGGAATCAATCCGCTTACTAGTATCCGGGGCTGATTTCATTGAGTAAAGAACGCGTTAGTGGCGGATTTGAGAAAAGGTGGAGGTGGAGGGGGAAGACTGAGTGAATCTTAGGCTGAGTGGTCGTTGCTCGAATTCAGCAAGGAGAGAACCCACGCCACGAGGTTAAAAGAAAACATGAAATTTTGAAGTGGAAGTGTGAGTGTATTCGATGGTAGGTACAGAGAGGTCAGAAGAGGTCTTCTTATGCGCAGAGAATCACGCTAACTACATACTCGCAGTATCCATCTTCTCCAACAGTATCCTTGCCTAGCGACGGGTACGATTGATGCATGCCGTTGACACATATCGCTGAGGCATGTCTTCAAAACCCAACACATAAATCCTCTTCATCACCAGCTACCCTCAGGTAGCCGCGCAATGAAAAGTCGCGTCAACTGGAGGCAGTACAATACTAGTGACACAGTGGGTATCAACATATGCAAGCACAGAGGCCAATTCCCGGAGTTCAAAAATAAGATTAACATAAGAAGGTCCCAGAAGACCGTTTCAGATATTAAACTGAAAAGAACAGATACTACACTTGATCTAAGCCAAAAGGCTGTGAAATGGTTAGCATTGATTGATAGCGGGGGAACCATAACGGTTGGTTGAGGGTTGATAGGCAAGGGAGGTGGAAGACGTACCAAAGAGAGCTAAAAAAGAAAGACAGGGGGAAAAAGGTTGGTTCATAGAGGTAGGGTGAGGGAGGGTGACCGCGGTATCGGCCATTTTGATCGAGTAGTTGGGCTGTGCTTCAGTACATAGTATGGTCGACTGGAAGGGCTGTGTTTAATTTTTCCGAGAAATATGGAAATGTAAGGCTGCCCCCTGTTCTCCGATTGCACAAACAACATCTCCTGGACCCATGACTGGTCGGGGATGATCATAGAATATCACTTATTTCGCCGCCCTTGGTTCACTCAAGAGAAGAAAATAGCGACAGTAATACGAGGGAATCAGGTCAAATGTGTTGGCAAGTCTTAATTAAGTGAATTATTCAACTGGCTGACGTTTTCTCGTTATCAAGGAATACTTGCAACATCAGCTTTACAATCTCCGTAGATGGACATTGAAGAAAAAACCGCAGCAGCATGTACCTACTCTAGACTATGAACTGTCACTTCTATCACCGCTCGCAAATGTAGCAGCTTCTACAATCAACCTCATCCACACGATCCCTCCATTCATCCCAACCATTACACCGCCCAAAACAGCAACCACAGTTTGCCCTCCAAGATTCCAAATCAAATCACAAAAACATCACCAAAAAGATAAGTGATTACAGCAGGGATCGAACTTGCAATCTCTTGATTCATAGTCAAGCGCCTTGCCATTGGGCCATGCGGCCAGTCCTATGGTTGTGTTTTTACTTTACCCGTCATATTCTCATTATCCCCAGAGTCTTCCTCCCGTTCAATGCCGATCCCCCCACCCCCTCCCCGGTCCTCGGGGTATGTAGCAGTAGTGATGGAGTTGCTGATGAAAACTGATATCGCCCTAACAAGTAGAATTGGTGAGCTGTCCATAACAGCTACCTACTGGGGAGCTGAAGGTAGCATCGACGTTGACACGGTAAGTACGGTCGAAGTCCCGATTTGATGTTATGTGATGAATGTGTTGGGGTAATCTAGGAGTGATGAGATGAAGATGGTGGTGGGGTGGATGGAAGGAGCTTTGGTGGGGCGGAGGTAGCACCTGATCTAAGCTCCCTGCACTAGCGTTGAAACACATGACACAGGGGGAAGATTCTGTAAATGAGCTCTCATGAAAGCCCAAAATCTTACTCAGATACTACTCAATACCGAAGAATACAATTATGGCCTAACTTCTGAAAACAATTCCCGAATCCCAATTCGCCATCGGTATTTTGCCCGTGTAGCATGAGTCATGCCGAAGAAATTCTTCATTCAATCTTTACTCATAAAGTTCTTAATACCATGTTATTAACCAGGAGATATCTACCACACATCCCCCTTCTTTCCGTCACTCCTTCCCGTATTCATGCCCGTTATCCTTATCCGCAAGCCCGATCTCCACCATGTTAACTCCCATCCCAGCTTCCCAGTTGCGTCCTTCTTAATCACTTCTCAGCGCCATGTTCCTCTTTATGAACCCCCATAGATTATTCCTCCCTTAGATAAAACTATTATTATCGTTAGCTCATCAATATCCATACTACCCACATACCCACAGACCCACGCACCCACATATCCACCTATCCGCCTATCCACCTACCTGCCCATCCGCGGTCTCTGGAGAATGGTTGATGGGTGGGTTGGGTGGTGGCGGGCTAGGTGGGCGATGGCTGGGGAGTGCGCAGCTATCATGTGGTGGGTCGGAGGAGGAGGAGGAGGAGGATATGTGGGTGGGCTGGGTGGCGGGTTGGGAGTAGGGGGAGTTACACACCAGCGCCCCAGCTCCTACCACTAGTACTCCGAATCCGAGTTTATTTATTATCTCCATGTAACCGGTTAATTTTTCGGGGGAATGGATTTTCTCTTTCTGCGCTGCTGAGAGGTCGGGGTACATTGACTGCGCGACGTTAACAGATACTCTAGGTAGCTGAGGTGGGGTATTGCGGTTATTGGGGGTATGAAGGGTATGGAGGGGACAGAGGAATGAGGACTGACTTTCTTAGGTTCGGGGGTAGGATTATGAGGTTGCGACTGCGAATGAGAGCTCTGTGTACTCTGGTGTCGTAAGGTAGTTGTGGCGAAACGGCGAGGGTAGAGACATGAGGGTAATCCTAATCCCCGCTTCATGGTTTGCTGTAGTAGCGATATATAGGATGGTGTGATGATAATGGTGTGAAGATGGAGCTATTGGAGCTGTATAAGATGAGGCGAATATGGGGATGGGAATACCCGCGGTACCTGCGTTACGTCATACCGATCACAAGACCATAAGCGAGCGCGGGGTGCAGGCGGCTGTAGCTTTGAGGCTGAGGCTGGGGTCGCAACGGAGGATTGATGCATAACTACGCATAGTCATATGTAAAGGAAGAGACAGTGGAACTTTGGTCGTGAAAATAATCTCGAGAAATTCATTAATTTAGTCCTTGTAACTGTCACATCTACATAGCATCTACGGTGTCTGAAGCCGAAACCAGTCCACCAGAGATATTTCCTCAGGCTGAGGTATGATGCGACAGGACGAGAGGTCGAGCGAAGTAGAGCAAAGTAGAGAATATCTAGGAGCCAATTTGCTACACCACACGCAGACACGCGCATCTAAGAGTATCATAATAAATTATGACAAACTGAAACTCCAGTTTTACGCTCCAGCATCTCTCGCTATCAAACTAGAGTACATATCTTTTGGTCCTTGAGCACTTGAGTATACTCTATGTGCTCTAAATTGCTTGGAATTTGAAATAAGAAAGTCAAGCTTCTTGGAAGGGTGAACTCTCGTTATCATCACGTTTGTGACAATTCGCATACCGTCAGCTATCCTCCGGGTCATGGCCTGTCATACCTCTCTCTAACCGTTACCTATAAGCTCCCGGTATCTTCCAGGTCCGTAGGTTAGGATAAGCCCCCCCCCCCCCCCCGCGGGGCTCCGGCCGCTGGTCGGAGAAGCGGGAAGATCATGTCCTCCGAATTCGCCACTTGCACGGTCAACAAGCAGAACAAGCAAGCAGCCAAGAGTTTTCTGCTACGCACACCCCATCCACGATGCGCTAAAATGCCGTAGCCGTTCTAGACTACTCTACCGGTACATTTCTGTACCTGAGCTCTTATGAAGGCTAGTCCGCCGCCGTCTACTCCAGCTCTATTTAAATCGTTCTTGTTACCCCCCCCCCCCCCCCCCCCCCCCCCCCCCCCCCCCTACCTAAGCAAAAGGCCTGTGCCCGACCTTAGGCAGATAACCACGTCAAAGAACAAAATCCGTTGTAAATCCTGAAAATATCCCGAACGCCATCCCTGCCAGGAAAGCAAGGCATGCTATAAACCTAGGAATACCGTCGATGGTGAATTGTTGAACTGCTTGGTAATTTGATAATGTCAGCACTGCGAATTGGTAGTGATTATGATGATGATGTTTTTAGTAATCAACTAAGTGTGCAGTGGACCAGTGGTGCAAGTCAGCGTCCTGGAAAAGGGTTTCTTTGACGTCTACAAGGCGTCCAAATTCCCCTTCGGGAAGCCTAACCGTTTCCCGGTTATCAAAAGATAAGTTTAAGCTTTCAAGCGGATCTGAGATTGTGGACACGATAGAGATTTATTGAACGGAATTCTAGCGAATTATATAGAGAAGTTTGAGCGAATTCCTGGCGGCCAAATTTGCAGTCGGAATTTGTCGGCATCTATGGCGAAACGACGATGCCGAGCTATAATAGTTTCATCCGATGGCGACGCCGAATTCATCTTCGTCCTCCGAGATCGGCACGATGGTGCCTACATGTGCTCCACTACGGATTTCCGGCACCAATAGATGTTGTGATTTCGTCACCGATGTCCAACTTTCCAAGTTATGGCGTTGAGGTTCCGCGCCCGCTCCTTGTCAGTGCCCTTGGCAGATTACTAAAAACGTCTTTCGCCAATCTGAAAGTGTTGGTATTGCGGGGGATAACTCTATTCGCAACTCTTCGTTCACGGTTAATACCTCTCTTAACCACGGCATATACAGCCCTTCGCTGACAGGTAACAGTTCTATTAACCGCCGATTTTAAATCTCTTCGCTAACAATTAATAGCTCCATTTACCGCGGCATTCACAGAGCTTTGAAGACAGTTGACAGCTTTATCAATAGCTCCTTGCTGACAGCGTATAGCTCTATGTACCGTAGAATTTACAGCGCTTTTAGAATCATTAACAGCTCTATCTACAGCTCGCTAACAGTATGTAGCTTTATTCACTGCGGATTTAGCACAAGTTTTGCAAAACTTCCAAGTTAATATCGTAATAACTCTACCAACACCGAATCCAAAGTTGGGGAAGCTTTCCAGTATTCTTCGTCAAGTATAGCATCAGGATTTCTGAGCTTTAGAATAATAATCTACGATTATTTGCTGTCATACGGGCTGTTCTTCGGAGGGGTTTTCGGCATCCGGGATCTCTAACGGGCGTCACCGTCTGACGCTCCGGCGAAAAACTTTAAACGCTGCGCTGCGCACGGCTTGACCTGCTGCAAGAGGTTCAATTGAACTTCCAGCTGAGCAGCCGAGGGTATCTAGAACGTACGACTACAAATTTCAGGCCGGAATTGCGTCGTGTATGGAAGGAACTGGCTTCATGATTTTATTGGTTAATGATGGGTCATGCCGTCATTGCTCCGTACCTAAAATACAAGATAAAGACATAGATTCACATGAGTGCTGGTGGTGCGAGATTCCGGAAAAGAGGCAGACAAGGGAACACCTCTTCAAAGAGTGTATTTACTGGAAAGATGATACAACGCGTCTCTGGCAAAGGGTAGCGAATGAAGTCGGTTGGCGTCATTACCGGTATAAGCCTATTTCAGCTTTATTCAACGAAACGAAGGCAACGGCAGCGATTCTGGCGTTCTTGGACAAGATGGGGGTGGGCAAGTTGAGAGGCGGTATGGGGGTTGACAAAAAAGAGAGGATGTCGTAGAAGATGACGAGGAAGAAGGAAACGTCCTGGACTAGATGGGCATCACCGTGTTGTTTATCAAGATGTACGGCTTCATGCCAGGTTGCGAATTTACTTTATTTGCTGTTTATCATGTTGTACAGCGAGGATCGCCTGCTTATTATTTGTTTTATTTGTATATATTTTTTTTGGCGGGAAGAGAATTAGGAGGCGGGTGTGCCACAGTTGATATTCTTAAATTAATAGCGGACAGGAACTGGGGAGGTGAACCGTAGATAGGAGGCGTACTTCTTCATACTCAAACTGAGTGCATAAGTCGCATAATAAGTAAAATTTGATTCAAACCCCCCCCCCCCCCCCCCCCCCCCCGGCCCCGAACTGAGACGCCGCATCAAGTTGCCCGCGTCAAGTTCAACGCGTCAAGTTGAACTTGTTCAGTTCAACCCCCAGGAACAAGCGGGGTTCAACCGTTCAGGTTTCGCGAGATTTGGGTGTGATGAGGTTTGCTCTGATGGAGTTGTGGGAGAGAATTGAGGCGGAATTGGACACAGAGAAAAGGATTGTACGGGGACGTTCAAAGAGGCGTTTGTTAATATGGGGACGTTTGAAAGGCCGTGGTTACGTGGGACTCGGAAACTAGACTGCTTATGGAGCATTATCCCCTGCACGACCGCCTTTGTACATTTGGTCCCTTGAGAGTAGCGCGCCAAGAAAGAGGCTCAATAGGCGAAGAAAGAGCGGCTGCTAGCCCTCAAAGAGTGTACTCAGTAGTGGATAACCAGGGTCTTGTATG